CACCTGGGGCACCTAAAATACAGACTCTCCATAAAATAGAGTCCCAGGCCACTTCCTGGACCTGCCAAATCAGAATCTCCAGGGGAGGACTTGGAAATCTGAATTAACAAATACCTAAGCCGATCTTCATGATGAGGCAAGTTTAGGGAAGCCGAGATAGAACATAGCTCTTCAGGGCTCTCTGATTTTTCAAGAGGTCCAGAGAGGGAGTGTGTTAGTCTGCCCAGGCTTCCATAACAACATACCATAGACTGGATGGCTTATACAACAGATACTCATTTTCTCACAGTTCTAGAGGGTAGAAGTCTGAGATCAGGGTGCCAGTATGATTGGGTTCTGGTGAGAACTCTCTTTTGGGCTTGAAGATGGTCACTATCTCACTGTATGCTCACTTGACCTCTTCTTTGTAGATATGTGGAGTAAGAGCAAACAAACTCTGGTATCTCTTCTTATAAGGGCAGTAATCCCATTATGGGGGCACCCCCCTCATGACCTCATCAAACCTAAATAACTTCCCAAAGGCCCCAACTCCACAAACAAACATATTGGAGGTTAGGGCCTCAGGATATGAATTTGGGAAGGATGCAAACATTCAGCCCAGTGTAGGGGGCAATGGAGATTACTCCCCTCAAAGGGGCAGACATTCATTGGTGGAGCTGGATCATTGTTGAACATTTCTGCATCTCACCAGTCTATGTAGGATTATGTCATATGAAGCATAGGCATGAGCAAGCTGTATGCTGATTAGTTTTGGCATCTTATGATGGTAAAACATGAGATCTAAATAATTAAAACAAAAACTAACAAACAAAAAAGAGAAAGAAATCAACATTACCAGGAATTTGGGATGTGAGTTCAGTTAAGCACATAATTTAGCTCTGGACCTTCTGATTACTCAGGCCAAAGGAGAAAATGGCATCTGTTAATTGTCTTCCTTATTGCACGCATGTTAAACTCTGGGTAGAATTCTAGCTTTTACTTACATCTCCTGAACCAAGCTGCTATTCCCAAACCTATGCCCTTTGGATGGGAAAAGCCATTGTTTTTCTCCCCCCAGAGCTTCACATTTCATCTCGATACATTTCTAGCTTATTAGAGAAGCAAAACTAGCTGCATCAAAAATACCCAATGGGGAATCTCCCTCCCCAAACATATACTAGAACCTGATGGAAAAAAAATAACACATTTTGCAAAATCAGCAGTTGGGGTTTTTATTTTTTGTAGATCAAAAGAGTTTTCTTACTCTTTAATAATTTAGGTAACCCTGGAGATCCAGCCACTTTCCAGACATTGCTGAGCAATAAAGAACTCCAAAACTCACTGATTCCTCAATTCCAAATCAGTTGTCCAATCTGACAAGATCTGTTACTTGGTGTCTCCGTAGCAGAAGAAAGATGGCCTGTGTGATGGAAATGTCCTTGATCCCAGGCCCAGCTCTGCCATTAACTATCTGACTGGGCTCCACTGAGCAATTCTTTTCCTCTCTCTGAGCCTGTCATCTTCATTAATTCAACAACTATTTCTTGAATGTCTAAAATGTGCCCAGCACTGTGTCCAGGTGAACAGGACAGCCTGCCCGCCCTCAAGGAGACCACAGTCTTGAGGCAAGGGAGCTTCCCATTCTATAAGGCAATTGTCCATTTCTTTGTGTGGATGCCTCACTGGATTAGTACATAAAAACATGTGAGCATATGAAGGAACAAATGAATGAGTGAGTAAGGCATAAGATTATTTTTTAATCACTTTATTTCATGTCGTTCCCACTCTTTCCATGGTCCCCTCAGTCTAATAACTCAGACCCAAGAGGTTCATCTTCAACTTAACCTTTCTTAGCCTTTTATCCTCAGAAAACTTCATTTGATGGTTATAATCTGCCGCCGTCATCTTCTCTTGTGAAGTTACTCAAAATCTACTTCCATCACTCATACCACCCCTTTATATTTCCTATGTCAGAAATTCAACAAACATCCACTGAGCACATAATATGTGGCGAGCACTAGGCAAACCGAGAAGTTCAGCAAAGCTTCTGGGGCAGGCCACATCTGCCGTGGCTCTGCGTGGAGCTTGGCACATCCTACTCACTGCCACACTTTGACCCACAGCTACTGAGACACCAGAGCAGCCAAAATGGTATATCGTGAGTTTCCTAGAAGAGTCATACATCAACAAATTCTGCCCACTTCTCACCTACCACCTCACGCTAACTGCCTGTATGACAAATTTTAACCCAAATAGCTACTTTTGGTGTAGGAGTGCCTTAAATTTCCCACCTACGACATAGCCTGTGAGTTCCAAGGCCAAGCCAAATGCCTGGAGTGCCATTGTCTTGTCTCTCTCTCTTTTTTTTTTTTTTAAAGATTTTATTTACTTATTTCAGACAAGGGGGGGGAGAGAGAGAGAGAGAGAGAGAGAGAGAGAGATAACGAGTTGGGGTAGGGACAGAGGGAGAAGCAGATTCCCCACTGAACAGGGAGCCCCACATTGGGCTCGATCCCAGGACCATGGGATGATGACCTGAGCCAAAGGCAGATGCTTAACCAACTGAGCCACCCAGGTGCCCCCCATTGTCTCTCTACCCTCACTCTCATTCCCCATTATCCAAACAACGATTGAGACAACAATTTCTCAGAAGTATTGCTTAGAGAATAAATTTTTAAAATAAAATAAATAGCATTTGAATAGTGCATAGAGTTTAAAAACACTTTTACATTTCCCATCAGTATTCACAACCTGTCCAGAAGAGGCCAAATGGTACCCGATGTGGTCCAGGCCCCACATTCACAAAAAGCTACAAATTTCATCACTAAGTGTTAGCTCCAATAACATTATACATCAGTGTTAAAGAGATACCTCATCAGGATTAAAAGAGAAAAAAAAGTTCATTACACAATTCTAAATTTGCACTTTACCTTTGTTCCATTATTGTGGCATTTTGGCATTTAATTTTTCAATATTCTGAGAACCTCAAACAGTGGAAGCCACCCAGGCCTCTTTGAAACTTTTAGAGCCTTGACAAACCTCTTCAATTTTTTTTACATGACATCTCTAGAAATGTAGCTTACCTACTGTCACTTCTCCATCTTGAAATAAAATTGGCTGGATTTTCCTTGATTTGCACTCTAGTTGTACATATATGTTACCCACCATGCCTCCCTAGAAAAGTGTTTTTTTGTTTTGTTTTGCTGACCTACACCATAAACCCTAATAAACCACGTGTCCTCATGTGCCCCTGTGTGAGAGGGTCTGCAGCTCGCCAGCACAGATGAGGTCTGCAAGCTTTTCTCTCTAGAGAACCCTCTGGTCACATGCATGATTCTGCCCTGATAATTTATCTTTTGCTAGCGATGTTGGTGGTGGATTCAAACAGCAATGAGAGCCTTTGGATTATTTAAAATCATTATATCTCTAGGCCTCAATTCCTCCAACCATAAGATGACGGAAATAACAATTTGTAGTGAAAATTAATGGAATACCATCACAGGATTTCCAGAGTCGTAGATAGGCTCAACAGATATTACAAGGAGGGCAGCCTGGGTGGCTCTGTGGTTTAGCACCAACTTCAGCCCAGGGCGTGATCCTGGAGACCTGGGATGGAGTCCCATATTGGGCTCCCTGCGTGGAACCTGCTTCTCCCTCTGCCTGTGTCTCTGCCTCTCTCTCTCTCTCTCTCTCTCTCTCATGAATAAATAAATAAAATCTTAAAAAAACAAAATAGATATTACAAGGAATGCCAGGCTCTCAACTTTAATATCTTCCCTGGTCCTTCATTGAGCACAGCAGCTGCCCATCTGAAAGGAATTGTCATGTTTTCCATTTGCACTTGGAATTACAGACTCGCTTAAGCATCTTTGCAGTAACTCCCCTGGCATCATAACTAGGCTATATTCGCAGGCACCCCCTGCCTTATCACCACTTCGGCGGCGGAGCATTTGAAGCCAGAGACACCGAGATTCCTGGCCCCCAGAGGCTGCATCTTCCCTCTGTCCTCACATGCTCAGGGCATCACAGGAATGACAGAGCAGTGGCCAGCTCTAGATGGCCTCCAGTAGGGCCATCTCCAAGATCTCACATCCTCGGTGCCGGGGGTGATTTCGGATCTTCACAAGCCAACCAATGCTAACTGCTTTCCACTTTTTCCCTTTCCCTATTTATTATAGTTTTTCAGAAAGTTGATGAGGTGAAATATTCTCCAGCAGAGGAAATAATATAAAGCTTAAAAGTTGTGTCTGATGGAACGGTGAAATAATTCCACCACGTTCCTCTGAGCAAAGAAAAGAAATACTAAGGCAAGCCAAGGCAGCTTCTAGGGGTTTCACTATTGCTAGATTGGAGGGAAACATAACGGCTTTAGATGAACACGGTTTTCTTTGAACTTGTTAGAGCACTTTGGGATGAAGAGAGAAGAAAAACAGGGGCTAGACAATAGAAGGAACCTGGCACCAGTTTATTTACATAATTTCGTATGGGGATGCATTGATGTCTGAAGTATAAAGCGACTGTGTTGAATAGTGAAAATAAAGTATTTTGGAAAACAATCTATGTTCACTACCCAGTTCTAAAACGACTGAACATTTTATGAAATACCTCTTGCTTCTTTGTGAAAATTACTGGTGGTTTAAGCACTGTGTGCAGTTTTAAGAAAACACAATCCTTTATGCTATTGTTTAAGATAATTTTTAAGAAATGCATTCTCAGGCAGATGAGACATTGAGGGAGAGGGGGGAGGAGGAGACGAACACTTACCCCCTCGCTGATGTTGGCTGGCCCAGTCCCCATTTCTTCTTGATTAAAGGCTACCAGCAGGGATGGAAAAGTGTGTGGAGCAAAGATTATAAACAGCAATTTTTGCAGGCCAAATTGCCTCCTAAATGAGGGAGTAGGGGATTTAAAGGTGAACATAACTGTCTCTTTCGCTGCATGCGAAGGTTTGTGCTGTGTGAGAAACGAAATTCTAACTTCCTTTTCTTGCCAAGTATTCCTTAACAGGCCTTGCAGATATCTGAAACCAATTTTAACCCACTCTGGCCCTCCACTGACCACTACATTACCTGAATGGTGTGGTCCAATTTCCAGGCTGCTCACCAGTCCTCAGGCCTACGGGGTGAGTAACTACCCTGGGTGGGACAGGCTGCTGGGTGCCGAGGAGCCCAAGAACCTCAGGGCTGTCACTTCCCAGCTTGAGGAGGAAGCGTCTTAAAATTCGCTGCACCAAGAGGCATTTCCCTTTTCTTTTCAGATGTTGCTGATGTGGGCTCATTCTTCTTTTTAAAATGCAAGTTTTTTTTATTGTTACCAATATTTTTTTTAACCATAAAATGAATTGAGAAAATGTAAACGAAGTCATATGTCCTCACAAACTGCTGTGTTCTGAGGTTTTAAATATTAGGCCTGCCTGTGCTTTATAGCTCAAGGGAGTGGAATAAAAAATGCTGAGAAGCAATTAGAATCTTTACCAACAAACCAGTGTCAGGAATTGGAGAGGAGCAAAATCTTAAGGGTTTGTGGCACTCTTGGAGGTTGTCCAGCTGGCCACCCCGTTGCATAGACAGAGAATAATGCATCTCAGATGTGCTCCAGGCAGAGCAGCCTAAGGCAGCGGTTATCGAAGTGTGTCCCCAGACCAGCAGCCTCAGCATCACTTGCGAACTTGCTAGAAATGCAGATTATCTTGCTTAAATGAAGATCTCTGAAGATTTCTTGCTTAAATGAAGATTATCAGCTTCCCACCCTCAGAACTCTGAGCTTGGGGCCCAGCATCTCTGCTTCAATGGACCTTCCAAGTGATTCTATTACAGCCTAATACTGGAAACCACTGACCTCGGTCACCTAGCCCGGGCTCATTCTATGAGTAATTTTGTACGGTCTTCCCAAAGCCAATGAAAGAAGAGTTGAGATCTTAATTCTTCCCTTCAAGGAAAGCTCTGACTGAGGAAAACTAAGTTGACCAGATCTAGTTAGTTTCTGCCATTATCTACTCTCGGGACTTCCAACCATTTTGAGCTTTGTGACACTCATCCCAAGAAACATGCTGTGGGGACACACTTTTCAAATAAAATACAACAGAAACTGTATTTGGAGAATTTAGTGATAGGCAAGAGTGTTACAAAACCAACGTGGAGAATCATTCTGTACACTGAGGGGCCAGGATTCTCCTCTAACTCTTAACTCCTCTCAACCTAGTTAAGTACCAGTCCAAGAAATCCACTGAATTTTAATTCCCTTAACCCAAGGAGGCATTCAGTCAGCGCGCCCTCTCTACCAACTGTCACCTCAGGCCTGGAGCCCTCACGTGGCTGTGTTAGGGCCCCCAACGTGGCAAGGCGGTGCCCACTGCCACAGAACCTCAGCCAGGGCAAGCCAGCACCATTAAGAAAGGAAAACAAGCCCCTGTGGTCTTACACAATGGGACAGCTGTGGTTTTCTTCATCACAAAGTGACCTCTCTCTCTTCCCAAACTCTAGGAACAGCTAAAAGAGGAAGACGTGGAGTGCATTGTGAATCAGGACGAACTGGCCATGAGCTACCAGGAGCAAGCCCCCTCGCCCTGCAGGCCTCCTGCAAGCCTGAGCCTGGCCCAGAAAGCCTCACCGCAGACTCCAAGCAAGGACAACATTTATGAGGGGGACCTCGGCCTGGGAGGCTACGAACTCAAGCTTGAGCAGACCCCGGGTCAGTCCCAGCTGAACTAAGGGGAACAGCACCCATGTGACCACAAGTGATGCGAGGCTCGCAGCGGAATGCTTGCCAAGCTGGGGAGGCAGTGTAGGAGAGAGGCTGGACCATGTGGTAAGAGCATCCGTCGGAGAGAATCACAACCTTGTCACAAGTTATCCTCCGGTGCCTGAAGAAATAAGAATTTTATCATCCCTCTATATTATGCAACTGAATTGAAGTTTCTGGCAGCAGCCATTTTTATGAGTGGATCGGTTGGGGTGGGAAGGGCGGAGAAGGAGGGAGTCAGGAGTCTGGCTGCTGGAAGGATGGAACAGATGTGCTGCGTCTGCAGGTGTTTCTTTTCGGTGTGTAGCTCTCCAGGCCCTTTCGCTTCGATTTTGGATTTTACTCCCTTCGTTAGGGAGAGTTTAAAAATCAGAAGAAAAAAAAAAGTTTCTGAGCATAAACATGTGGCTTCTAAGCTGAAGGGAATGCCCAGTTATTTTGTTAAGTGGAATTTTTATATTATAAAGACCTAGACTCCTACATGCTCTTAATGACTCCAGGGCTGTTTGCAAAGCCCAGGCAAGGGATCGATACCACTGTCGGTGGCCTTCTAGAACCCACGCTGTGCGGTGACCCACTGTTCTCCTTGGCATTCTTTTCAAGCCGCTTCTCCTATTAAAGGCAGGGGTTAGTTATAGCTGGGCGTACCCTGCACTCAATGCAGTTCTGCTTTCCAACTTGGTAGGACCCCTTCCAGGGAAAGCTGTTTTCTCTTCCCCCATTCTGTGTTGTATCAGAAGAATGAGCCTTTCTGTCCTGCTTGCATTTAAGTCACTTCTTGGCCCTGTGGCAGGTCCCCTCTGTATGCTGGGTAATGAGATTCTACAGCACAGGCCGGTCTCCATGTGGCAGGAGATGGTGCAAGAGTCCCGACCCATCCTCCAGTTCCAACACTCACAGCTGATTAGCAAAAGCAGAAGCTAGAGGAACAGAGCTGATGATGCGTACACCAGACTGAAGGGTCAAGGACACGGCACCAGGACTCCCCTTATGACAGGTGGCTCACGGCCCATGACAGAGAGACCAACACAATAGCTTTTAATTCAGCTGCATGACCTGTGCCTTTCAAGCCATAAAGATACCTCAAGCCTAGCTTCTCTTGAAATACAGATGTTAATATTAGATTCCAAAAAAAAAAAAAAAAGTCGGCTCCAGTCTTAGATGCCCAGACTATGATGAGCCTGCTTCTGAAGGAGGTAAGAAATGATGTTTTCCTCATCATTCCCCAAAGCTTGGAAGTAACATACGCTTTGCTAACCAGTTGTTAGGCTATTAACCGTGGCGGTGTCAGGCACACCGCTATGTACGTCGATTTTCTTACTTTCCAAACAGTACAGGGCACAAATTGTTTTATACTCAGCTAAGTATAATCTGGTCATTCCAGGTTAATACAGCAAAAATGGCAAAGCATGAAGTTTTCTAATGTGACCTAATCCTAATAAACTTTTGTTATAAAGTATGATTGTGTTGGCCAATGCTTTATTTAGAGACATTTTCTCTGCCCGTGCTAATTGGCAGTTCTAGGCCTTTACACTTGAAATGCCGGATGAAGCAAGCACCAAAAGATAACGTAAGGGAACTGCAAGGGTCCTCTGGCCGGAGGAAAGCCATAGGGGCTGGCCCACCAAGCCACTGGAGGAATGAGAGAGAGCACATGGCAGCCAGAGAAAGGAGAGCTAAGTCAGGCCCAGTGGAACAGCCTCGGCCTTTTGCACTGCTGGAGACCAGAAATCATGTAGAGCTTCAAAAAGAGAGGGAGGGGGTCCTGGAGGAGAAGAAAAAGGAAAGTCAGAAGACAAAGACTCATCTCTTTCTGCCCTAATGTGAAAGGAAGAGATGAGAACTTGGGTGCTTTGTGTGTAGTTGGAGAAAGACACGCCAGGGAAAGAGAAGATCCTCTCAAAACAGACAAACATTAGCATGGGCAGGAGTGGAGAGAAGGGAGGGAAATATGACATATGACATGGAAATGAGAAGGGGGGGAGGCACACAAACTAAACCCAGCATGAACTCATGAAAGCCCGTGAGTGACACACAACACAGCACAGCCATCTCATGACACACAGGAAAGCCCGCTTTCTGCATAGGAAAAAAACTCTTCCCAGCTGAACATCACGAACCATCACAAACAAGGGGAATCAGGGGCTGTTTAATCTGGGTCGAGCCACGTATCCCGCTGACTCCAAGTAGGTAAAATACTGTAAATTTGAGGAAATTGTGCCCTGTCCAATCTGTAAGACGGTGCTCTAGATTCAAGATGTGATTTCCAGCCTCCTTCCCTCGGAACCAGCCCAAGACCCAAAGAGAGGCGAGTCCCAGTTAACAATTCATAAAACCAAATTCCCTTTATGCTCCTGTTGTGAGGGATAATAATTTATGATCTTAAGATCTCTGTGCTTTGATTAGCAGCATGAGGACTGTGAAATTCAAACCTATTACTTACTGCCGGTTTCTAATGAATAATAAAGGCAAAGAAGCTTTATTCAAACCACTAATGCTTGCACTCATTATTAGAGCTTTAAACAGGACTCTAATTAATTAATTGACTGATGGTTTTTCCTTGAGCTTCTTACCCTGTGTACATCACACACACACACACACACACACACAGTTCCACTCACTGTCAGGCTCCCAGCTAGATCCTCTGTAGTGTCCCCCTGGCCCTCAGTACATGTCTGAGCCAAGTTGGAAGCCTGGTGGCAAGCCTTCATTCATGAAGTTTCTAGAAACTTCTTGGAGAGCAACTTAATGATATGAGTCAAAGATGAAAATTCAAATAACCTTTGACCCCCCTATGTCATGTGCAGAACTTTTATTCTAGCTATTTGAGAATATTATACATAGAAAGAGTATTTAGTGAAACAACTTTAATTGCCATCCCGGTTAAACAGAACACAGCACAGCCATCTCAGGACACAGCATTACATGTACTGCTATGGAATGATCTCCAGGACATATTGTAAAAAAAATAGCAAGGTGCAGAACAGAATGCATGGTATGCTGGCATTCTGGAAGATTAAAGAAGAAATTGGTAGTATAATTGCTTCTTAAGAACTGAGGGAAGACTTAATTTATCACTTTTGTACCTTTGGGGTTTTGTACGTTAGAGATGAATTATTTATTCAAAAACAAATTAAATAATAATAAGAGTCCTGTGTAATAACTCACTGAAGTACTGAACTACAATAAAAAGTGGAATAAAAACCAGAAAATTTGTTATTTGCACCATGATCTTTGAGACCTTGAGAATATAAACAGTAGCATCAATAGTGCCAATGCCTTCTGGGTTTACTCATCTGCATCACCCAACACACATGGAGACAAACTATGAAAAGGTCTTTAAAATTCAAAGACAAGGGATCCCTGGGTGGCGCAGCGGTTTAGCGCCTGCCTTTGGCCCAGGGCGCGATCCTGGAGACTCAGGATTGAATCCCACGTCGGGCTCCCGGTGCATGGAGCCTGCTTCTCCTTCTACCTATGTCTCTGCCTCTTTCTCTCTCTCTGTGTGTGTGTGACGATCATAAATAAATAAAAATTTAAAAAAAAGAACTGAATTTAAAAAAAAAAAAAAAAAAAAAACAAAGACAAATAGGACTTGGTCCCATCCACCAAATATCTAGTAGGAGAAGACAGCTGCTAAAAAGCGATAGGCTCCTTATAAGATACCAGAACATACAATTAAGCTATAGTAACCAAAACTGTGTGGTATTCACTGAGAAATAAGAAAAGGTATCAAGAAAATCTATTATAAACTACAGAAGCAAGGGATCCCTGGGTGGCTCAGCAGTTTAGCACCTGCCTTGGGCCCAGGGTGTGATCCTGGAGTCCCAGGATCGAGTCTCACATCCGGCTCCCTGCATGGAGCCTGCTTCTCCCTCTACCTGTGTCTCTGCCTCTCTCGATCTCTCTCTCTCTCTCTCTCTCTCTCTGTGTGTGTCTTTCATGAATAAATAACTAAAATCTTTAAAAATAAATAAATAGGGATCCCTGGGTGGCGCAGCGGTTTGGCACCTGCCTTTGGCCCAGGGCGCGATCCTGGAGACCCCGGATCGAATCCCACGTCGGGCTCCCAGTGCATGGAGCCTGCTTCTCTCTCTGCCTGTGTCTGCCTCTCTCTCTCTCTCTGTGTTATTTATATATAATTTAAAAATATATTATAATTAATAAATAAAATTTTTTTAAAAAAAGAACATACTAAAAATAAATAAACTACAGAAGCAGACTCATGAATATAGTCAGAAAGTTAGTACATAAAAAAATGGCATTGTAATTTGGTTTGAGAATAAATAGGCTGTCATTTACTAAGTAGTGTGGATAAACTGACTCTCAGTTTGGAAAAAGAAAAAAAAATCAGGTAATGCTCTGAAAAAATACAAAACTAAATTCCAAGTAATTTAAATGGCCAAATGCAAAAAAAAAAAAAGAAAAAGAAAAAAAAAAGAAACAAAAAAAAAAACTATAGGATAGCAAAGCAGTAAAATAGAATATGTAAATAACCGTGGCATATGAACAGTTTTCCTAAGAAAGACAGAAACCAAAAGCAAAGAATGATAGATTTGGCTACATAAAAAACATAAAATTTCTTATGACAAAGACAATAAAATTTTATAAGACAAACTTGGAGAAATACAAACACACACACATATATACATTTATGTATGTTCATGTATATATCAGAATAAGGATTATTCTTCAAAATATACAAAGAACTCTTATCAATGCATGAGAAATTAAAAATATACTTTCAAATATAAAAGTATCTTTAAAAATAAGTAGAATCGAACATGTATACCTTCTATTCAGACTTCTACTTTTAGGCATCTCTGCAGAAAAGCAGCACTTGACATCTGTGCATAAGGAAGCGTACAAAATGATATTCTTTGTGGCAGTGTTACTGTAATTATTGGGGAGGAAAATATCCATCAATAAGAAGAGTTAGCCACAATACTCTCATACTAGAGAATTCTCTGCAGCAATTAACTACACTCTGTGTAGAACGGGTCCATAAGCACACACTCACATGGAAATATTTCCAAGATAAACTGTCGGTGAAAAAACAATCTGGAATGATCTACAATAGGCTGATAACCAAGAGGGAAGTGAGATTGCAAGAGCTAAATCAAGAGAGCCTTTGGTTTATCCACGTTATTTTTAATTTTTATAATGATACCATATTCATGTATGGTCAGTTTTGAGAGTGGCTCTGTCTTCAGGATGTGGGAGGGAAAAGAAGGCATGGTCAAGAAAGGCTTTAAGGAAGAAGTTACACATGAGATCTTGAAAGATGAGAGGGTTTAACCAAGCAGATATGATTGGTGCTGGTCTGTGGGGCAGGAGGTAAGACTGATCACTAGAATATGGGAAGAGCATTCCAGTTGAAGGGAACAGCGTGGGCAGAGACAAAGGGGTGTGAAACACCCCAGCACATTAGAGAAACTGTAAGTTATCCCACATGGCTACAATATAGCCTGTTTGTGTTTGGGGGCAAGAAAATGGAAGAATAAGATAATTTTGGAGCTGTAGATCAAAGGAGTCTGAGCCATGATCTTGTGAGAATGGGGGGCTATTGAAATTTTTTAAACAGGAAAGATAATTACATGGATTGTAGGGAGATAGGGTACAAGTAAGCCTGGAGGAAGTATAATAGCCCAGTTGGGGTGCTATTTCAATAGCCCAGGAGAGAGATGATGAGAACTTAAATAAGACAGAATCAGGGAGGATGGACCAGAGTATAGGTTCTAGGTAAGTTTCCAAGCTAGAATCTACAAAGTTAATAACTGATAGGCTGTGGAAAGTGAGGAAGCTGGAGGAGCCCAGGATGACCCCAAGCTTAAGGCTGAAATGATGGCATTTTGATGGTTCCATTCATTGAGGGTATTGAGAAGAGGAACAGATTTGGGGGAAAGCCAACAAATTCAGCTCTGGACATGTTGAGCCTGGGTTTCTGGTGGAGAGCTGCATGGACAGGTCCAGATGCTATTTGCATGGATCTGAAGTTTAAGGAAAAGGTCTCACCTGGAGATGTATATTTGGAGGGATGAGATGTGCCTCACAGCTTCACCAAAGAGGTTTTCAAATACCACATGAACTTCCTCACCTTTCTCTAACTCGTGCAAAGAAATCCCGATACGCCCTCCCCACAAAAGAACCATGCCAGCATCTTTGCAAGGATAAGCACATTTATCTTCAAGGCACCATGGATGATTTTCATTCAAACCCTGGGGAGAACCATTGACAAGAAAAGGAAAGAGGGAACAGAACAGAGAACCAGGGAGTGCTAAAACCAGTGCATGGACAGAGTATGCACCTGGGAAACAACCCTTGGAGAATCCCTACCAAGGAGATCTGGGCACTCCTGGGAATATGGGTTAGAGACAGAAAAATAGTGATTTCTGTTACTGTGCTTGTGGTCTTACACAAGTGCCCAACCTTTCCTCAGCTGTGATGGCCACAGATTCA